CAGCCACTCTGGAATACTATGCAGCTTAGAAATAAAATGCATGTTAATTCCAGCAATAAAAAGGTTTGACCCAAACAGGTCATTAAGATGACTGCTGGGTTGAACCCCTGTAGTTCTTTAAAGGTAGAAAGCAAATATTTTTTTTGCCTTTGTCTAAAATTCTGAACTACTTGTATAAATAAGCATTTTAAAACATTGTACTTCTCAAGATCCAGCTGCTGCTTTGGGGAGGCATGTAACAGCACTTTTGTGTCCTTTCTGCCAGTAATTGTTTCTGTGAAAGCACCAGGGCATGGAAGCTTGTGAGTAGTAAATTCTTCTTTAGCTACAGATGTTCTGTAGATGACAGCTATTCTTAAAAATATAGAGACAACATATCTCAGTCAGGGAAAATAGCATTTAATCTAATGCAAAATGTCATTTGTGTTGGCAGAAATGGGAAAAATACATTTTTAGTTTTCAGTATTTTTAATAGATTTTATTTAATTTCTAGTCACAGTTGAATATTGAAGTAATAGTCCAAGATTAGCTAATACATTTTGTGTCTTCTGCCTGTTTTAATGCATTTAACGTGCATAAAGTCCTGTTTAAGTCAGTTAAATTTATATTCTATTGGTTTAGAAAGACATCTTTAAAGTTTTCATGTAAATAAACACTGTAAGTACACCTGCTTATTTTGTACATTATAGAAACTCATATCCATGTAATATCTGCTATAAAATTTTTAATACAATGTTATTCTTCTTACAAATAATCATTCTCAATAGTGCTTTACAGCATAATAGACAGTACCACTCCATAGTTATGCACAACAAAGTTATTCGGGATCCTAGGACGACATTATACAATACAGTAGTAAATGATTCTTCAAGGAAAGGATGTGTTGGTTGTGGTAATGTTTATTTTTAGAAATACTACAAGGTACTTAGCTCGCATTTGTGCTTTGGCTGATATTGCCAACACAGTTTTCATTTCCAAAACGGGTCAGAAAAGCTTTCAAAAGTCTCCTCTTCCCCCCTTCCCCCACCACCTCCAAATACTTCATAAACGAGCTTCTGGTGTGTTGACCTGGAAAGTGTAATCTCAGGTGACAGGATGTGTACCGAGCTCTCACCTGGTTCCTTTGATAACAGCTGAGGTATTTCACGTTTTGAAGTTGAGGGTTTACAACAGGATGATAAACATACGAAACAGAGTAATAGAAGTTTTGAGTTACATTCATTTGCATCCACTGTGCTGTGAACACACACGTTTGTGACTGTGTTGTCATATATGAGAACCTGCTTTTCAGAAATTTCCTTTGAAATTAACAAAAAAAAATGCTCTTCCAACTAAAAACTTCGGTATTTCTTTTCTGCAAACTGAATCAAAATTGCTGGTAGAGCATTTGAAATCAGTGTTTTATTCCTGTAGCTTGATGTTCTAAATCAGTTTCATATTTTGGTTACTATAAATCTATGTGAATAAAAACCTATGGTAGCTTGTAAGGCGATGTCATTTTAACAGTAAAAAAAAAAAAATTGCAGCCCTTGAAAGCAAATGCTGGCAATATTTGATGGATAGTTACAAAACCTGTTGGGTGCCGTTAGGGCCCTGATTCCAAAGGGTTAAGTCTGTAGTAAACCCCAAGAAGAATGCAAAATGATCAAGAAATGACATGCTGCCTATTGTTTGTAGCTATAGGATCAAAATAACAATTATACATGCCAAATAAATTCTAAACCTGTAAAAGAGAAAAAGAGGGGGTGGCTGTAAGTACAGGTGCCAGAAGCATTAAATAACCCTCTCAGACAAGGTGCACTACTGTTGTCTTGAATGCTGCTAGGTCCCCCCAGTCTGGCATTTTTCCCCCTGCACTAGACAATGTGCATTCACTGCAGGAGACTAGGCTAAGCCTGCGTCTCCCAGACCTGCCGGCTCCTTCTGCCCAACCCGACACAGAGGTGCCTTTGTCAGTATAATTACCCTCCCCTTGTAGTAGAAATAGTTTGTTTAGAGCCTTATTTGCAGGTAAAGCTGGTATAAGCAGGAATTAGCATGCTAAAGAACCTGCCCCAGCACTGACTTGGGTTTATTTATCAGAATCTTTGACAATCAGGGTTTTTTTCCCCTCTGTTGGTTTATTCAGCAAGATACTATCCCAGATTAAGAGCTTTAAGGTTATTAAAGAGATTGAAGATGGGAGCCAACCGGCTGTTGTTTGAGGGAGGCGCATGTCGTGGTGTGTAGGATCTCCCAACAATTTCATGCCTGGCAGGTCTGCACCTTGGCTGCCAGAATAAACTCGGGCGGATGATCCTTACAGCTTTCTGGGGATTGATTAAAACTCCTTTTGGCTTTCAGCACGTTGTCCACATCAAAAAGGTGCGAGAAGTAAAATAAATGTTTCTTTTGCTTTTCAAGATACTGTAGCCAATCTCCCTAAGCCTTCCTAATTGGCCGAGGCTGGTTGTGGATGATTAACTTGAAGTTAAATGAGGCCTGCTTTTAAACATGCTTTCCCAGACTTTAAACGGGAACGATGGGGAGAAACTTTAGACTGTTGCAATGCTGGACTGGATCCAAGCTGGGTTATTATTAAAGTGGATCCAAGTTTTGATCCAGGTTTTGTTTACACTGAGCCAACTAAGTTGATGGACATCCCTCCCTCTCTGTATACTTGAATGTATACTATTAGTAATATTAACAATATACCACTTCTGCCCCATGAAAGAGAGCCTTTTAATGAAGGGGGAAGAATATTAGCAGCTCAGGTTGAGCTAAGAGTTGCTTGCATTTGGAGTTTATTGATTTCAGTAAGTTATTTTAACCATGTCAAGATATTTCAAAGTATGAAGAAAATGTAGAGGAAAAAATGTGCACAGTATTTAATGACAGCGTTGCAAAGAAAATAAAAGTAATGTGCCCTGAGGGCAAAGGCAGTGAGAAGATTTGCTCTGAGGAAAAGCATGCTCTAAAAATAAATCTTTGAAGAAACCATGTCAGTCTGTCAAGGTTACATTAGTGAGTTTCGTCATTTTTCTGTGAAGTAAATACAGGGCAGACATTTGATCCTTAAAAAGTTGGAATTTTTCCTACAGAACTTGGTAAAAACCTAGTTTTGTCTTTCTATGTGAAGATTAAAGGTAAATTGTTAAACAGTCTTCTGTTGCACACTCGAGTTGATAATTCTTGTCTCTGGTGAATACACAAGATTCACCTTCTCTCTCAAGGTAGAGTATAAGGGCTTTGCAGGTAATTTTGAGAGGAGAATCCAGCCCAGCATCACTTTGTTCCATGGCTAATAACCCCATTCAGTGCAGGCAGACAGCAGAGCAGCTACCACGGCAGCGCTTTTTGAGTTCCTTTATGGCGTTTTCCTTAGAGTCTCTTAGAAAGTCATAACTAGAACCAGTGACTGGCAGCATAAATCAGACAAATCCCACTGAGTGAGAAGGCAAAGGGGCTGAACGGCAGGAGTCATTAACATCCAAAGGGAGTGTCAGGGGAAGTGGTCAGTTCTCAGTCTGAAAACATCAAGAAATAAACTGAGAAAGAGTGGTGGGAACCAGCAGGGGCTGGAGCAGAGCATGTTGTGCTGAGTCTGACATACAGAAAGTCTGACTGCAAGACCTAATGGCCTTTTTAGATAAACCTTTATTTTCTCATAGGCATTTTCTGACTGCAAACTGCACTTATTAGCATCTCCTGAGAACTGGCTTGCAGGACCTGGTTTTCTCGTCACACATCCTGCTTGCCTCATGGGAAGGCAACTTTACAGTTTTTCTGACACCTTGCAGCTCTTTTGTCTTTGATAGCCAGCATCTAACTTGGATAAGCACTATATTTTAACTGATACTGTAGTACACAAGAAGCTTACAGATGTGTCCAGGCATATAATTAGATTTAGTTAAATTATGTGGATGTGCTCTGGGAAATGTCTGGCACTGAGCCCTGAGCAGGTAGACCTGTGCACAAGAGAAGTACAGTAATAAAAGCACTCCAGGAGGGTTCGTGGATGAACCTCAAGCTGTTTCACCAGGTCTCCACCCTTGCTTCAAAGAGAAGAGGCTTAGGGTCACTCATGAACTATTTCTTTCTCAAGCTTGAAACATTTTACCCATTTTCCCAAGCCACCTCTTGTTTGTGCCTTGCATGGATGTTGTTTGATATTTTATTTTGGTTGACCTTCCCTAGTGGCCTTTTTGCTTTTTGCTTTTTTTTTGATTGCTTGCTACTACCCCAAAACTTCCCTTGCCTGTTTGCCACCCTCTTATATTGGAAACCAGCTGTATTGCTGGTAACTTCATTGGCTCTTTGTTCCACTTCCACAAACTGATAGCAAGGCAAATTTAACAGTAGGAGATGAGATTTATTTAAGCAAACTGTATTCTAGATAACTTGTTCTTGAAAATTCATAAGTAAATCATCCTGTTACTGTTCTGCAAAAGACTTAGTGTTATGGCCCTACTCTCTTTGTTTCCCTCTTTTCCTCAATATATGTTGCATTATAAATTAAAGTGTCTCTGTAGATGTATGGGCTGGGCACTGTTTTCCCTGAAGTATTTATTTTAAGTGGGAATGGGAGGGGACAAATCTGTCCTGTGTCTCCATCTCCTTCAAACACATCCTAAATTCCCAATACAGGTTCATGGCTACAATGTTAACTATTTAAAGTATATCAGAGTTTAGTCAAACACCTGACATTTTGTCCTTTACCAGCACATAACTACAGTACTATGGAGTGGGGGAGAACAAGTAGACAAGATACATACAGTGACAGAAATTACTGAACCAAGAAACAACACACACACAACTCCTCAGTGGGGTGAAATACATGGATCTCTCAAAATTTTGAGAGGAGAAATTTCTTTTTCTATAAGCCCTTTGCAGCAAAAAAGATATCAAAAACCAACAACCACCACCAAACCAAAAACCCCCTGATATTGCTGTTTTCTGATGTTCATAGTTCATGGTGTAAATTTGCTCATTTTCAAAACTTGTTCTTTTTTTTAACACAGGGTGCTAAGGCATGTTTTTTGCGTGATATCCCCTTCTCTGCTATTTACTTCCCTTGTTATGCTCATTTGAAAGCTTCATTTGCAAATGAAGATGGGAGGGTTAGCCCTGGAAATCTTCTCTTGGCTGGATCAATAGCTGGTAAGTGCCCAGATTTCTTTTTGCATGGCACTATATTGCACTGGTAGCATAATAGTTATGGCAGTGAGAACAACAACCAAAAACACTCAAATTCACAGCCTTACGCAGAAACAACAAAGTTACCGTGCTGTAGAGTAAGTTGATGTTAAAGATACTGTAAGTTCCTGGTTTAGTTCTAATGTTTAGGAAGTGAAAGAAAGGGAAAATAAAGTGCTGATGTTTTGTTACCGTATATCATCATTCCTTGTGAAGTTACTGTGCTAGTTTTGGCTGTGTCTGACTGACTGGTAACGTTTTGTTGAAATGATTTATAAACAAAATCATGGCATTCGTGAAATTCTTTATGATCAAATGTATCTTGAATTTTGGTATATGGAGTCCAGAAGCCACATTAGCAGTACAACTCTCCAAACACAATGACTAACAGGTGACAAAGTGATGACAGTACTTCCTACCCTCACTGTACCATGAAGTTCCGTGGCTTCTTGGGGATTTTACATTTATCATTTTTTTATATCAAAACAGAAACAAAACAGAAAAGCTTGAAAACATTTGTGGTGTTTGGGTTGCTAATTCCTAGTGTACCAGATATGACAGAGGTGCTGAGTGTGATCTTGAGCCCTTGCTTGTTTTAGTCTGCTGCAGAGCAGACAGGAAAGCCAAATCATGCTTAAATTCTCACAGGTGCATTTAACTTGAGCATCCCAGAGCCTAAGGCAAAAGACAGAGGCACACTTTGTAAGCCTCATCTTGCCTTTGCATCTGCTGCAAAGCTGGTTCCACCACAGCACCCAACTTCCACAGCCAAAGGGGACTGCCATTTGGTAGCTGTCCCCTGGAGAGGGCAGCTTGAGAGACATTCTCCTATCGTGTCCATGGTTTTTCCCCTAGGAAACAAATGGACCTCTAGGTGGATGTGTAGCAAGCAGGAGGGCTCACATCAGGAGGTATTTCCACCGTGTTCATTGGGGGCTGGTTGGTCTGTCTGAGCTGCAGCCAAATTCTCCCTCCAGTGTGGCCCCTGGCAGGCTACTGCAACCTGCCTCATGAGAAAAATGATGGAGTGGCATAAATCCAGTGCAGAAAGGTGGTTTAGCAATGTTTTCTCATTTGATTTTGAGCTTTCTTCTCCCTAAGAAAACTCTTCTTGTCAAGATTATACGCAGGGCTATGTCCCTTGAGGAGGAGGGCCCTATTGTAGCCAATATCTGGTCTTAGATAATAGCTAAGATCAGTTGGTTTGCCTTATTGAAGCATACAGCTCTCTGTTCAGTAGCTCATAATCCAGAGGAACAACCTGGCACTAGCAAAGCCAGCTGTGTTCCAGTGACTGCTGCTTAAACCCCCTTGTCCTCTCCCCTCCCCCACCACATTCCAAGGCCAGGCTCCAAACCCCCCAACAGGAGTTTTTACAGCCAGCTTATTTCTCACCCATTTTAATGGAACAAAACAATTTTTGAACTTTAGATCATATTTACAGACCTGAAACATAAGCTGGCATTTTTAAACCAAGTAATTTCTTAGATTTTCCTATTTTTCTCTTTCTAGCCATTGTCAGGTGATTGCAGACTGAGATAACCGTCCCTTTGAAGTTCAGGCACAGAAGCAGTCTTTATTGTTGCTGATATGGCTCACCAATCTAGCTATAAAGTGAATTTTATCCAGTGCTTCCTGTGAATCCCATCCTAGGTTAAGTCTCATGAGCAAATTATAGTGTTAGAGATACAACATTCATCGTACTGTTTCCAAAACCAAGAAATTTATTTTATTGGGTACAAGTAAAGCCTGATGGGGGTGCATGTGTCCACTCTTTTGCCATGAGAAAGTCAAGGGGAAAACAAAACAAAAACCCCACCACCTCTGAAACGCTGGCTTCAGTCTCTGGGCTGATGTCTCTACTGCGGCCAGGGATCTCACCTGGTCATCGGACTTCAGATGTGTGCATGAGCTCTGGCCGCATGTTTGAAACTCCCCATTTCCACAGCCCCTGGTGCTGGATTATTCAAGCTGGCCACAGTCATATGTGCACCTGCGTCCTTTGCCAGTGGGTGTTTTGTTGCTTGTGCTGCTTACATTGTCTTCCTTTTCACTGTCGTGGGGTCACAGGCTACATGCACGTCTTCTAGCTTGATCTGCTGCTGGTTTTCACTGTTCACCAGACATCTCAACCTGTTGTGCCATGGCATTTTCTAATGATTCTCGTATCATGTACAGGATATCTCCTTAATTTGCTCCATCTGCTTATTGCCTCCATAAACTTCCTTCTCCTCCCCTCACTCCCCTTCTTCTTGTCAGCTCCTGCTGTGCTGTTTGTCACATTCTGATTCTAAGTTCCTCATGGTAGCAATCTGTAAATTCGATTTGTCTATAAAGTCTTTTGTCCTGTGCACATAGCTCCTAAAAAAAGGATTTAAAACATCTTTACCTGCAAAATACCCTCAGTAATATAGCATGTGGAATAAGAAGATGGAAGTCAATGTGTAGTGAGCAGAATTGTTTCTAAGTATGTCCTTTGGTTTTCCTTGAAAACACTGGTTGGCTTTTGAAGGACAAAAGTCCGTCTTTAAATTGAAGACTCGAGCAATATCCTGATGTGGGTAAGGCTAAGCAAGGACGAATTTCAGTGTTTCTGGAGTTCAGAAACCTTGACCAGGTTTTAGCGCTTGCCTGCCAGACAGCCCACTGTGCAAATTCAGCGTATGCATTATTTTGGGGGGTCCAGAAGAGGAGGAGGAGCTCTTCTTTTGGTGATATGCACACATTTATATCTCTTGGAGCAGTCTGCAGGAAGGGAGCTCTGGAACTTGAAGCCAAACCATGCTGGTTTGGACAAAAGTTTTTACAGAATTATTAAGCCTGAAAAAAAAAAAAAGAAAGGAGATTTATGCATCTACATCTAACCAAGTTGGTTTGGAACAGATGCAGAATGGAAAAGTAATAAAACCATAAGAGACAGTGTCTTCTGGGTACAGTCTCAGTGCTTTTCTTTGGTTTTGTTTTTTTTTCAATTCCAAACATGGGCAGCCCCAGTTTGGATAAGAATGATTTTAGAAATACCACCCATTGATAATTCAGTATTTTTTGCTTTCAGTTATCTGCCAGCGTAAATTTAAATCTTTCTCCAAATATTCTGATGAGGATGTCAGCTGTGGCTTTGCAGCTGAGCAGTCTGCCATTCCTAATGAGAAGAATGACCCTTTTTGTAAGCCTTAGGTCTCGTGCCTTGCTGAGCATGCACGGCATTATCTGGTTCTCGGTGATGTTGCTGTATGAGGGATGTCTGGGGGTGTGTGTGTGTGTGTACAGGCTATTCTAGCACACTGTACAACCAGGATGCCAGGTACCACAGAGAGGCACGAAAAGGAAAGGGAAAGAGAACCCTTATCACCAGAACCTTTGTTCTTACCAACTGTGCCAGTTTCTGTTTAGCGTTGAAAACTCCAGTCCATGCCTCCTAGCTTGCCAGGAAGCATGTGATATTGCTGTTCCTCAGGGAGAAGCTCTCTCTGGGTGAAGCCATGTCCACAACAACCACCTCTTGTTGCTTCCTAGTTTCTACTTAAATCAAATGTGACTGGATTCTCCTGGCATAAGGAGGAAAGGCCTGCTTACCCCTGCATAAATGAGGTGTATATCACATGTGACAAGCTAGAGGTATCCGCCTGATGATTTTTCTGTTGTGCAGGTATGCCTGCAGCCTCTTTGGTCACCCCTGCAGATGTGATCAAAACAAGGCTACAGGTGGCAGCCCGGGCAGGACAGACCACCTACAGCGGCGTCGTAGACTGCTTTGCCAAGATCCTGCGAGAGGAAGGTCCAAAGGCTCTGTGGAAAGGAGCAGGAGGTGTGTAAAAGAACTTGGATTGCCAAGTGATTCCTAATTGTGGCTTTTGTCACTTAGAAGCTCTTTTCTTTTCTTTCAAGCTCGTGTATTTCGATCTTCTCCTCAGTTTGGTGTAACACTGGTGACTTACGAGCTACTGCAGAGATGGTTGTATGTGGACTTTGGAGGAGTGTAAGTATATGGTGCCTGAATCTACAGCAGACCCTGAAGCTACGCTTGGTTCTGTTTGGGTCTTGCTGCTCCTTGACTGTCAGGGTCTTGCTAGGACATGTTGCAAAGGCCTTGTAGGTATTAAACCACACTACACTGGTTGGGATGATATTCCAGTACCTGTTTCACAGCAAGGTATTACCACATTATTTGTCACCATTTCAAGCTGAGGACCTATGTTAGTGTAAACAGAGACAGCGGGAGGCCAAATGATGGGCTGGGGATATAACTGCATTAATCCTCATTTTTTGGTGGAGGAGCTGTACCCCTGATTAGATGGGGCATTTGACATCCAAAAAAGTCTACACTTGTTACCAGGTTCAAAACCTGTTTGTTGGGGCTTCAGCTCTGCCTCCTGCCTTTGTTAACGATACAGGTGGATGTGCATATTGCTGTTTAACTTGATCCCAGGAGCAGCTGCAGACTGTTTATGGATCTTTGGGGATAGCAGTCTGAAAGCCACAACAAAAATTACTTAAACTCTGCTAGGTTCCTGGATTGATTGTGCGCTGAAGCAAAGACTCGTGCTGCTCCACATTGCAGTTTCTATTAATGCACCACAAATTTTATCTGGATTTGACCATAATCAACATGAAGGCTCGTAACAATTCTGGAAGGTTTTAAAACAGGGTATGTCTCCCTTACATTGCAGCATTTAATTTAGTTACTTATGGGGAAGTACACTCAGATGTCTTTTTAAGCTTACTTTATGGAGGAGATTTTTGTGAATACTGATTTTACTCCATGGAAATAAATCTGTTATTTTTATTATTTTGCAGAAAACCAGCTGGATCAGATACAGTTCCTAAATCTAGGATCACGCTCCCTGCTCCTAACCCTGACCATGTTGGCGGTTATAAATTGGCAGTTGCCACTTTTGCAGGGATTGAAAACAAGTTTGGACTTTACCTACCTCGGTTTAAGCCATCACCACCTACCTCAAAGGCTGCTGCAGCAGTAGGACCCTAAGTTTATTGCTGTAGGGTTTTTGTTATTAGTTGGGAAAGAGCCACTTTTCTAATTGGTTAATACTTTGTTCCTTTAGCTTCTCATCATATAAAAGTTTAGCTTCATTTGAGTTTTAAGGTAATTTTCATCTTAAACGTAATCATTTGTCTTTGTGCTTCCGTAACCAGATCACTGTGAAATTCTTACCAGTTGTTTTAAGTTTGGGACCATGAATGTATTTGTCCACATCTGACATGTGCTTGTGTTGGGAAGACACTAATTTTAGGTTCCGTTTATTAGGGAGGGCTGGGTGAGAGCTGTGAACCAGATCATTTTACAGGCAATGCGCAGTTGCAGATTACTAGGGCAGATGTCGCACATTGTCACTCGAATGGAAAAACTCAGTGGATATCACGGTGCTCAAAGCAGAATGATTTTGACTGTATGTGTAAATTGGTTATAAACTTGGTGCGTGTCTGTAGAGGTCAGCAAATATATACCCGGTACCTAAGTATGCCAGTACAGCTTCAACTTTTTAAATCTGTACACGCACAACTTCTGTTTCTGGATTGTATTATGAAGCTTTTATGTGGAACATGTTTTTGTAATGAGAACCACATTTATAAATGTTTAGCCGTTGTATTATGTTACTGGTATCAAAATGCTCAAAAGAAAGTGTTATTGTCCATAGTCTTTGCACTTTATGGCAGAACTTTTGGCATTCTACTACACATACAAGGAAATTTCATAACTAGGTGCCTATCTTGGGTTGCTGGTGTTTGGAATTCAGTTTGTATATGCACTTCTATAGTAAAACGCTGCTTGTTTAAATAACTGCAATAGAAAAGTCATGCACAGTATCAATGGTACCTGCCTTAACTGCTGGCTTGTAATTGGCAAATAGGTGGTTTCAGATTCTTATTTACTTCATCAAGTCAAAAGAGATTAAAATAATCTAAAATAAAAGATTTTACCTAATTTTTGGTGCCTTGCACAGTGTTTGGAAAATTCTGTATTTATGAAGATAGAAATAAACCTTTCAAACAGATGCACACATGGTATTCTGTTACGAAAATAGTACAGTACATCAAATGTCTTATTCAACTTCCGTTACAAAGTCAGGTTAAGATAAAGTTAATATTTGCACTTGTATGCTACAAAAACACCTTGAGAACAAATTGAACAGCTTGAGAACAAATTACCTCAATTCCCCTGCATAGAAAAGACATCTGTTGGTGGAGATGTCACTCAGAAAAAACCTGGAACTTTTCCTCAGTCAAAAACCAGGATTGGAGTAAGATTTGATATTTTGACCTTTTTCTTTTAGGTGGAGGTTAACAGTTATGAACAACCTAATTATCTAGTCACTTGAAGGTCCTGTTGGGTGTCTTCTATGGTACCTCCTAAGATCAGGAGGAATTTGGTCTTGCTTGTCTCCTTGGGGTGGGTGCCTTCAACCTTGGCTGTAAACTGAGGGAATGCACAGATGCAGTCTCTTTGGAGAAGTTTGATGTGCAATATTGCATTTTTGTCCTGTAACTTGTGGAAATGCTGACATGGAAATCACTCTGGTTTTGCATTTGTGTTTGGGTCATCATGAAAATTATTCTCTTGGATTGATTTGTATTTTGAAGTTACCAGTGAAATTGAGTCGGGGCAGGAATAGCATCTGCAGTACTCATGCACATTAAGGCGTGGGGAGCAGATAACATTTACCTGAATCCGCATCTTGGAGTCTGGCTAAACCAGTGTGCAGAGACTGTGCTGGGCTCTGACAGCCACCAGCTGCTTTCTCCCAGCCCTGTGTATCCCAGTCTCCCAAAGTGACACCTTCATTTCAGAAATGGGAGGAAAAAAAGCTGTCCCTTGTATTACTTCAAAATTAACTGTCAGGATTTTTGTTTAAGACTTGTCATAAAAGTTAAACATTTTCTCTGGGAGCTGCCTGTGCTGCATTTCAGGCTGCATAAGAGCTGGTTTTACACTTCATCCCTCACATTTTCCTGACATACCTTGTCAAAGTCAGCAGCTCAGGGGTGATGTCTGAGCACTGAACTGCACCTTCTCCCCGGTCCAGGAGAGGAAGTGCCTGACCACGTGCATGGGCTTGGCTGGCAGCTGCTCCCTCCTGGCTCAGCCTGGAGAGGGACACCCAGGCTGCATGCTCCAGAGCACGTCCCTCTGCTGCCTGACAAACCCCAGTGCTTCTGGGGCTTTGCAGCCAGGAACGGAAGAGGAATTAGAGCTGGGTTATTGTCGGGCTTGCACAACTTCTTGGCTGGTGTGGTAAAGACCGTTGCTGTGTTCCGCAAAACAAAGCATAACTCAGATCGATTTGCCTGCCTCCTGGTGCCCTCTCATTCCCAGGCCTGGCAGTATATTTATGACTTGTTCTTTATCCAAGGGATGAAGGGGAAAGCTCTCATCCCAGGGACAAAGGTCAGGCACAGCTCTCCTATGGCAGATCCATCTCAGAAGGCCACAGCCTTCATCTTCTCCCTGGCAGGCACATCAGCAGGGCTGACTGACATCCCCACCCAAGGTGGCCCTTCCCTTCTTCATTAACTTTTCTGTAGGATTGTTCTCTCCTTCCTCCCATCTTTTCAGAGCCAGTAGGCAGTGGAGGCAGGGGCAGAAGGGTTGAAGAACCTGCTTCGTCTGTAACAGGCAGCCCAGTTCAAAACATTTCAGAGATCTGGGGGAAGATCTATGCCCAAAGTTGGTTTCCTCCAGACACAAAAGGATGCATTCCTGCTTTGAAAAGTTTATAGGCCAAGAAATTGTCAGATTGCCTTGCAAACAAACAACAGGCCCTAAGGACAATGTTTGTCCTCTCTGGGTTTCTGAGTGAATTATGTGGATAAAATGTAACCTCACTTGCTTCCTGCAGTCCAGCTAACTCCCTGTGACAGCACTTCTAGAAAAAAAGAAGTGGCCAAATACTGGTGATGTTACCCATCAGGGGTGTCTCTGGAGCAGTTACCCCATATTTGTGTTTCTCAGTCCAGCAAAAGCCGAGAGATGCTTTTCTGCCTGGTCCCCAGGGAATGAGTTGGATTTAAGCTGACTTAATACTGACAGTTTGCAGGGCCACTTGTGTGAGCAAACATACTACAGGCTTCAAAAATAACTTGGGCGGGTTTTTCTAAACCTGCTAAAAATATAAAACCTGACAAACTGCTCTGCATCTTCTTAGGAGGGGACAATCGGCTCTGGAATGCCCCTGCTGTACACTCCATGATGTGCATACATGTCACGCTGCCTACTGCTGAGCTCCTCAGCTCTCCAACACACACGTGGCAGAGGGACAATTGGGAATCCTACAGCTTTGCTGTTTAAACACTGCTGTGAAATTCAGACTCTGGTTTCAGTTTAAATATTTGCCATTTTTGCATAAGCCAGAAGGCGATTTCCAGAGATGGTGATCATTTGTAAGTTATTTAATGGTTGGGAATATAGAAGTCTCAAGACATTTGTATTTTAAGTGTCTCCAGAGTGCTTCAAACACAGCAAATAACACAGAAGCAGCCTGGCATGAAGCAGCTTCTTTAATGCCACCTGCCATACGGTGGTTCTGCTTTCTGCATGGAGGGCAGTGGATATCTCAGGCTGTGAGCTCGGGCAGCCTCTCCCAGAGCTAAACGTGAGGATGTCATAAAGGTGTCTGCTGCCCTTCAGAGAGATGACATTTTAAGAAGCGTATTTATCATTTTAGCTGCTACTTGCGCTGTTCCTCACTGCAGCAGGAAGCAGTACCATTGCTTGAGAGATTCATTCCAGCTGCTGTAGTTATATTGAAAAGGGTTGCCTGGCCTCTCTCCGTGCTTACTCACCACCCAGGCTGTGCAGATGTACCAGACATGATGGTGCTACTGCAGAAGTAGCTTTGCTTATGAGTTTGAAGGAGAACCAGTTCTGTGAGCTTCTCAAGAACAGGTGGCTGCTCTTTAGCACCATTAGGTGCTGAGTCCTTCCTTAGAACTGATGCTGCCCTGATGATATCAGTCTCCTTTGTCACTGGTCAGTGGAGACCATCCCGTTCTACATGGGATGCCATTTTGCTTTGTGAGCTCATCTTCTTTCTGTGTTACCATGGGGGCTCTTGAACAGAGTACGTGATAAAGGTGAAGTACCCTGCTTCCCCTTTTAGCTAATGCCTTCAGCTCCCACCCCCACTGCCACTTGTCTTGTCTCGTTACGTCCTTTCGCAGCTCCTTTCAGAACAAATCCCAAGTCCTCGGCACCAAAATCAAGGTCTTCCCTTCATCAGGTTCAAGACATGTCCCTTCCACATCCACCTTGCAGTCCTGTCCTCATCCTAAACCTCAGTTCAGCCTTTTCCTGCCACTTGGCTGCTTCTGCCCAGTTGGGTTTGCTTTTTCTGACCTCTGTGGTTCAGATGCGCTCTCCAGATCAGTCTGAGCACACAGTTTATTCCTTCACAGAAACTTACTTGCAATGGACCTAAAACAGAGCCAGGCTGATTTTGACTCTGGAGCAGTCATGGCAGCATCCCAGCAGTGCATGGGACATACTCTTCATGTTCTGCCTTCTGTTCTCTGTATGTTTGTCGGCTAAAGAGCCTGGAGAAGATGATTTCTCTTTGTTCAAATAAATGATGATTTTGTATTTATTTCCCTACTGGGAAGATTCTGAGGGACATTTTGTCATATGGGCTCTTTTTGGAAAGGCAGTAAAGTGGAGCTATTTGTTTAGCAGCAGGAAAATCAAACAAACAAGAACTGTGGGTGATTCCTGGAAGGGCAGCAACAAGGGCGGGTCAGAAACCCCACCACACATCAGGAGCAACAGAAGGGGAGTAAATTCTTGGGTGCTCTTCCATCTGCTTCAGCCATGTGAAATGACCCTTTCATGTTGTTGCTCTGTATTTACAAACCTTGTCATTTCTGTAGAAATCTGCATCTTTTCCTTGTTCTGTCTGTGTACGGCTGAACCACTCACCAAAAAAAAACAACCAAACAAACAAAAAAAAAAAAAAAAAGGGTGTCCTTAAAACTATTTTACAAGCTATTAATGCCATAAAGTAGGGAGAGCTTGAACATAAACATGCAGCCCCCCCAAACAGCAACACTGAAGAAGAAGAAGCGTATTTGCCAGCCATTTCCACTGCACTGGTTACGATGAACAGGAGATGACATCGGTTAAACTTCCTCCCTGTTACACCACAGTGTAACACACTTTGAGGTGTGGATTTACTCAGCAGGTGGAAGGGTAGCAAGTGCCACCTCTGCTCCCCATGACAGCAGTATTTTGCTATGTAACTGCCCGAGCACGTGTTTCTAATCTTGTGACCCAAGTGTGGTCCAAGTGTGCCTCTCCCACTTCCACTTTGTACCACAACTATACCCATATATACAGGTAACACTTACATATGATTATTGAAAGGAAAACAGGGCAAAACTGGGGAAAAACCCCAGAGATGATGACTAAACTGCTGCTTTACAGTTATCTCACCTGGCTATTTGTTAGCATTCACCTTTAAGCTACAGAAGTGCTGCAAGTATTATATTGGTCCTTCAGGACAGCTCCCAAAGCACCCAGGGGAGCAGCAGGAACACAAAGCTCTCTAACACATGGCTACAGCCTCAGGGAGCTACAGGACCCATGACTGAGGTATCTCTGCTGTGTGTACTCGGTCATCTGGGAGAACACTCCCTCAGCCCAATGGCAGAACACTTCCATGGGCACTGGCAGATACTTTCATTTCTCACCATGAAGAAGAAAGTAGCACTGTCTTCATGCACTCTCACTGGGAGTTATTTCTAACCACCAAGAGGATAAAGGAAATGCAGCTTTTCCAAAGGATTCATTTTCTTAGCCTACTCTTAGACCATAGACCCAAAGATGATTAGGTGATATATTCCTCAACATGATTACCCAAAGACCAGATGTGGCTCCCCTACAAACAATGTAATGAGACCTTTCTTGTCTGACTCCCAGCATTTCTTGCTGTAATGGCTCACCCCGTGGCTCTGAGTGTGAACTGCTGCTAAACACAGGTGTCAGAGCTGTGCTCTCGCTCAGCAGAGTG